AAAAACTGAATTCTTTTAAAGATGAACAAAATCAGACCCATATGGAGATGGGAGTCCCCATCTTTGTTGTCCTTTGCACCTTTGGTTTGTGTTTATGATCTGTGTGTGGTAATAGAGATATTAGAGCAAATTATTCAAGCAGAAGATCAACGAGATGATGATCTCTGCTCAAAAAGCATGAAGGAATGGTGATGCTAGAAACTCGGAGTTGTAGCTTCTTGGATTCGATTTAGGTGTAACTGAATTGATGCTTACAAAAATGAAAAATGGAGATGAGTTATAGTTGTTGGAGGCACACTCACTCATCCAACTCACACTGCTCACGTGCACCACATGCTTACCTATAAGTGAGTTGTTATGACATGTGGTAGACATCTAGCCTATTAGCTTTGTTTTACTCACAACATTATTACAAACTAAGAACAAACACATTGAAAGGAAACATGAAACTTGGATCAAATATAGTTGCAGAAGCTTAAGCACCAACACTTCCTTCTAAGCTAGCAGCTGATTTGACTCCCAACATTTCTCTGAAGTAGTTGAACTTCTCCTTTGGCAATGCCTTGGTCAAGATATCAGCCATTTGTTATTCGGATTTGCAGTAAACAAGCTAAATTTCCTTTTCTTGGATTGCCTCTGTGATGAAGTAAAAGTTCATACTGATGTGCAATGTTTTCTAGTGAAACATTGGATTCTTGGCCATTGCTATTGCTGAAGTATTGTCACACATTAGCAATGTAAGCTTAACTTGTTCTTCCTCAAAGTCTTCTAAAACAAATCTTAGCCACTTGGCTTATGAAGTTGTTTCAGCTACACTCACATATTCAGCCTTTGCAGTGGATAATGCCACTATGTTTTGCTTGATTGAAGCCCAAGAAAACACTATTGAATCGAGATTGAAAGTATACCCTGATGTGCTTCTTATGTCATCCTCACTGCAACCCAATCACAATCACAATATCCAAGAAGAAAAGCTGATTTTCCTTGCACATACTCAATGCCCAAACCCAAAGTACCTTGAATGTATCTCAGTACCCTTTTTGTAGTTCCCATGTGTTTCTTATTGGATCATGCATGAATTTTACCAAGAGACTAGCACCAAACATAATGTATGGTCTAGTGGCAATATGGTACAACAAACTTCCAACCAACTTCCTGTATTCAGACTCATCTACAGCCTCACTTCCATCATTTCTGCATAGCCTATCATTTGCTGCAAGTGGTGTTCCCAGAAATTTACAGTCCTTTAGGCCAAGTTTCTCCAGCAACTTCATTGCATACTTCTTTTGATGAATAAAGATGCTCTTCTTTGTTGGTATAACTCCCATACCAAGAAAATGGTGTAGCAACCAACCCCAAATCTGTCATCTCATAATGTTGCATCATGTCGTTTTTGAACTCCTCAAGCATTGTGACACTATTTCCAGTGCACATAATATCACTTGGACTTTTTTGAGTTTTCAATGAGAATTCTTGGTATGGGAGACAATGAGAATTCTTGAGTTTTCAATCTTTGTATATAAGTGGGCTTCACTTGGACTTTTTTGAAAACTAGCCTTTGTAATGTAGGAATAAATTTCTTCATACCAAGCTCTTGGAGCTTGCTTAAGATGATATAATGCTTTATTGAGCTTGTACATTTTATCCTCTTTGCCTTGAATGATAAATCACTGAGGTTGTTCAACATAAATACCATTAAGAAAAGTAGACTTTACATTCAACTGAAATAGTTGTCATTCCTTTTGAGCTACAAGAGTTATCGTGTTCTTATAGTGTCTAGCCTACCAACTGGTGCAAAGGTTTCACTAAAGCCAATATCTGGCTTCTGAGAATAACCTATTGCAACCAATTTGGATTTGTTCTTTTGTATTGTCCCATGTAGGTTCAACTTAGTCTTGTACACTCATTTCACACCTATGACAAGTTTGCTAGAAGGCCTATCAATCAGCTTCCATGTATGGTTGTTTTCAATCATATCTAGCTCAGCCTGCATAGCCTTCTTCTAAGAATCATCCTGAGCTGCCTCTTCATAATTCTCAAGTTCTATAATGCATACATTGCACTAAGCCATAACTTCATCCAGTGCTCTCTGCTTCTTTCGAGTGAAGTCATAGCTCCGTGATAAGCTTAAGACCTTTTGTGAAATTGGACAATCAATATTTGAACTTACGTCTTCCTGTGGAATAGTAGGAGTAATCTCAAAACTTAAGTCTACTTATTCTTCTGGAGTTTGAATTGGTTCAATTTCTGCAATATCAGTAGTGGTTGGCACACTGAAATACATCTTAGAGTTTGCTTCCCAATTCCAGCTACCATTCTCATCAAATACCATATATTTAGACAAGATAATATTCTTAGTGATAGGATTAAATACCCTATATCCTTTTTCATTGGTGCCACATCTTGCAAAAATGCACTTATGACAGTCAAGTTTGTGGCTCAGATTCAATGGAACATAGCGTAGCATATTAAACCAAAGACCTTCAAGTGTGCTACTCCTGGGTTTTTTTTTTTTTTTCCCACTGTAGGCTTCAAGAAAGTCATCTTATCTAAAGACTTAGTAGAACATCTGTTAAATAGGTACACTGTAGTGTACACAACTTCAACCCAAAATTGATATGGCATACCTTTCTCATGCAACATAGTCTTTGCCATTTCCGCCACAGTCCTATTTTTCGTCTTAGACACACCATTTTGTTGAAGTGTACATGACATGGTCAGTTGTCTTTGAATTCTAGTGACATTGCAGAAATCATTGAATTCAGTACACATGACCTCACCACCTCTATCACTTCTTAGATGCTTTATGTTGTGCCCCCCACTGCAATTCTACCATTGCTTTGAACCTTTAGAAGTACTCAAATGCCTCAGACTTGTATCTCAGAAAGTAGACCCATGTCATTCTAGTACAGTCATTTATGAATAGAATGAGGTATATGTTTCTAGCATTTGAAGCTATTTTCATAGGACCATAGATATCTGTGTGTACCAGTTCTAGTGGGAATTTAGCTACCCAAGTTGATTCTCTTGGAAATTCATCTTTATGCTGCTTCTCAAGCATGCAGCCTTCACAAACATTCTCATAATCTTCCAAGAATGGTAGTTCATGGACCATTTCTTGCTCTCTAAGCAACTTCATCCTCCTTGTGTTTAGGCGACCTAGCCTTTTGTGCCAAGTTTGAGTGCAATGAGATAAGCTAGCTTCAGTGCCAATGATGTAGATGGCATCATAGTCAATGGAAAACACATGTTGTTTGTCATTGGAACCTTAGCTACCAAGCCATTCAAATTCCAGCTGTCATAAATACAAATCATCACCACCAAATAACAAATAGTAGCCATGTTTCAACAGTTATCCTACACTTAGGAGATCTTCCTCTAAACTAGGTACCAACATCACCTCATGTATGTGTTTTCTACCCAGCTTAGATTCAATGACAAGTGTGCCTTTTCCTGCTACACTTACAATTTCTTTAGTTCCCATTTTTACCCTTGCATTCAAATTTATGTTCACATTCACAAGTAAATTCTTATTCCATGTCATGTGGTTAGTGCAACTACTGTCAATATACCAAGTATTATCAACCTTCACCTGAGTTATGGAGTTGCAAGCATAGAATAACATTCCCATTTTATCAACATGGTTAACATAATTAGCTTTCTGCACCATTTTGTTTCCATTGTAGTTTTTGGCTTCATGACCAAACCTATTGCAATTTGTGCATTTAGGTTTTCCCTTAACCCGGCACTTCCCATAATGCAGTTTATCACAATTTTTTTTATTACCAGAGAACCCACTAGGCTCTGGAAATTTTGAACCAACATTTTGACTAGCAAATGCCTTCTTAGCTGAACTTTCAGCATACATATCTAGTCTTTGTTCATAGCCCTTCATAGAACCTACAACTCCTTGGATTTCAAGAATTTTAATATCTTTTGAATGCTCAAGCACAACACAAATTGAATCATAAAATCTAGCCAAACTTATAAGCAATTTCTGAACAACGCTCTCCTTAGATAATTTTTCACCAATGATCCATCCATATTAGACTCTAAGGTTCTAAAAGACGCTAGGCGCTAGTCGGGTGGCAGACTAGAGTCTAGAGCCTAGGAATCTAGGCGGGGCCTAGTAGGCGCCTAGGCGGACTAAGAGGATTTAAATAAATTTATTATATATTATATAAGTTAATTAAATAATTTTAAAAATAATATATATATATATATATATTTATTGTTAGAGTTTTAAATACATAAAAATATAATATAGTGTAGTCTTAAAAAGAAAAAGAATAATAAGACAATATGAAAATTAGATAAAAATATGAAAAGTTATGATTGGTTAAGAGAGAAAAGATATGAGGGAATATAAAAATTAGTAAAAGAAAAGATAGTGGCTCCCTTAGACCATCTTCAATTGTTGGGCTAAAAGCCAAATATTTTAGCCCGAAAATTTAGCTTTTAGCCCAGAAACAACTTTTCTGCTCCAACCGTTCTGGCCTAAAATTTTAGCCAGAGATTATTAAAAAATGAACTTAGGCTATTTTTTTTCTTAAATTAAATTTTAAAAAATAAATAAATATGTAGACTATCATAAATTAATTTTATGAACACTTTAATGTAAAAATAAATTAATTTTATGAACACTTTAATGTAAAAAAATTTAAATTCCGATAAATATTGAAAAATCATTTTCCACAAAGCAAGCCTTCAACTTTTACCAATCTTTCAACCCATGGGCTAACTTTCAATTCACCATCCTTTCAACACCAAATTTTCAATTCACCAACCGTTCAACACCAAACTTTCAACTTTCACCAACTGTTCAACACCAAACTTTCATCAATCATCCTTTATATAAACATATGTCCAATATTTGTTGATCACATAACCTTTCAACCTTCAATCATCCTCTATATTCACCAATATTACAACTTTCAAAGAGTTTTTGTTTCCTAAAAATCCTCAATATCTCATCAATAGGTGATAGAAGAAGGCGTAGTATGGCAATGCAAATGGCACAATACCAAGCAAGGATCGAGATTGAGGATGCAAAATTGTTCAACGCTGAAGTTGAACTTATCAACTCATTTATGCAATCTGATCACCATGGCGAATCTAGCCATCATGGTTCTATCACAAGGCGTTCATATATGCAGCGTGATAGAGAAAAGTGTCATGATCGAATGATGAAAGATTATTTCATCGAGCGTCTGAGATTTCCTACTCATGATTTTCAGAGGCGGTTTTGGATAAGGAGAGAGCTTTTTGAAAGCATCTTGAGTGTAGTTGTCAATCATGACCACTATTTTGAAAGAAGGGTAGATGCCGCAGGCCGACAAGGTTTATCACCTCATCAAAAGCTCACATCTGCTTTTCGCATGCTAGCTAATAGGTGCTCTACAGACTCAACTAACGAGTATTACAGACTTGCAGAAAGTACTGCTATTGAGAACCTGAAGCGCTTCTGTAAGGCAATTGAAGGCATATATGGAGTCACATACCTCCGCAACCCAAATCATGAAGACTTAAAGAGGCTTCTATGCAAGGCAGAAAAAAGAGGCTTCCCTGGCATGATAGGAAGTCTCGATTGTATGCATTGGGAGTAGAAGAATTGTCCTACTACTTGGGCTGTCCAATTCAAAGGCCGTCATGACAAGACAACCATCGTGCTCGAGGCTGTGGTGTCTTACGACACATGGATTTGGCATGCTTTCTTCGGCGGTCCTGGATCAAACAACGATATCAACATTCTTTGGTCTTACCCTTTATTTGATAATATTGTCAATGGATGGGCACCAGAATTTCAGTACAAGGTAAATGGTAATAGGTATGAGCTAGGTTACTACCTAACTGATGGTATTTATCCTAGTTGGTCTACCTCTGTCAAAAGTTTTTTATCCTAGTTGGTCTACCTCTGTCAAAAGTTTTTCTCATCCCGATAATGCAAAGAAAAACTTATTTTCGCAGAGGCAAAAGTCTTACAGGAATGATGTGGAGAGAGCGTTCGGGATCCTACAAGCTTGATGGGCCATTGTTAGAGGGCCTGCACGATTTTGGTAGTTCGAAGACCTCCATTCAATTATGATAACATGCATAATTTTGCACAACATGATTGTGGAACATGAGTACATTGAAATTGAAGAAGATTTAGACGAAGATGTGGATGATGACCAACCAACACATGCAAGAGTTATTGCAAGAGATGTTGAATATCTGGTTCCAACCACATATGAGACCCGACAGGATAGGGTCACCTTGAGTGAGTATATGAGACGTTTAAATAGAATTCAAGCTCCTCAATGTCATGGCACACTCCGTAAGGATTTGGTTGAGCATGTATGGCACCGAGATGGTGAACGTTGATGATGTTGGTTAAGCATTTATGTAATAATTTTAAGTGTTTATTAAGTGTACTATGTTGTTATTTTCTAGTAATAAATTTAAGTGTCTTCTTGTGCAAAGTATTTTGTCTAGTACATTGGATAAATGATTAAATGGATGTTTGAACAAATACATAGGTATTTATAGAGTTTTTGGGTGAATTTTGAGTTAAATAATTTTTTTAAATTATTTTAGCCGTTGGATTTAAATTTGGGTCGTTAGATCTTTTTTTTTTTACCTTTAGATTTGATTATATTCGATTTCAGCCGTTGGATTCAATGTATTTTAAAATAACATATTTAAAAAAATCAATTTTGTATCTAGACCGTTAGATTAACCAAGGGTCCTTGAAAAGCAGCCATCGGATTGAAAATGTAGCCGTTGGAGGTGGTTTGGGTGGTTGACAAACCACTAACAGCGAGACCCACCCTGTCGGAAATGAATTGCAGGAACTCCGTGTGGGGCACGTTGGAGCGTGAACGGGATGAGACTGGCCCAATGGCCAGCGAGTCTAGTCGCGCGCGGGGGGGGGGGGGGGGGGGGAGAGGGGGGAATCTTGGGGGGTATTTGGCCCAGCTTTAACATTTGGCATTTAGCCCAATGTTTTATCATGGGTTGGAGATGGTTTGGGGGGTAATTTAGCATTTAGCCCACCATTGGAGGTGGTCTTAAAAGAAACTGTGCAAAAGCTAAAATAAAGGTTGTGGGACCACCTTAAGATGACTAAAGAAGTCATCTAATTAAAAATTAAAATGAAATAGAAGCTGGTGGGACCATGTCTGTCCATCTTCTTCCTTCCGCAAGCGCAACCCCTTTGCAACAGAAAAATTTCCAGATTCCGGGGTCTTTACGCACGCCCACCCAGCCTCGACCCAGCCATGCCCAGTCCCACCCAATCCTGCCTAATACCGCCCAGTTTGCCTAATCTATTTTCCAATTTCGTGACCGATCAGGAGTAAATCACGATGGCCAGTTACAGCCTAAAGCCTAGGCGGCCGCTAGGCCCATTTTTTGAACATTGAGACTCGGATCTTCGATCTTCACAGGTTTTCAAAGCACGATTCTACAGTGATGAAGCTCGATGAAAGTGATTCATAGAAGAACACAAATCACAAGTTCACACCCAAATTAAAGTGATGAATCTAGCTCTGAGGCCATATTAGTGTTTATGATCTGTGTGTGGTAATAGAGGTATCAGAGTAAATTATTCAAGAAGAAGATCAATGAGATGATGATCTCTGCTTGAACAGTATGAAGGAATGTTAATGCTAGAAACTCAGAACCGTATCTCCTTGGATTCAATTCAGGTATAATTAAATAGATGCTACATATATGAAAATTGGAGGTTAGTTATAACTGTTGGAGGCGCATTCACTCATCCAACTCACACTGCTCACGTGCACAACACATGCTTACATATAAGTGAGTTGTTATGACACGTGCCACACATCTAGCCTATTAGCTTTCTTGTAAACTTAGCCCTATATTACAAACTAAGAACAAACACTCGAAAATTGAAAGGAAACATGAAACTCTGTCCTGGATCAAATGCAGTTGCAGAAGCTTAAGAACCAACACCTTCGGCAACCGTCCTCACCCACCACCACCAACCACCGTCCTTCATATCCTTCCTAACTGATGATTATTGTGTCTTGTGAAAATATATGGTTTGACTAATGATTAATCGAATTCATGGCACCTATAAAAATTGTTTTGGTCGGTGTACTGGTTTGGTTGAATTTTCTGAGGAAGGGCGATAGTTTGGTCAGATTTGCAGAGGAATGGCAATAGTTTGGTCGGATTTGCAAAGAACGGGTGATGATAAAGGAAAGATGTTGGAGGAGACGAGGATGGGATTGACGGAGCAGCTAACATAGAGAAAGGGAGGAAGAAAATAGGAGTTTCGTTATCAAAATTGTGAGTATTTAGGTGTGAATTTTAACGACAGGTGTTGAATAATTATTGGGGCCACTTAAGAAGTCAGTACTAAGTATAACCTTTTTGAAAAGGTAACAAAGATTAAATTTATAATTAAAATTTTGAAAATTAAGGGCATAGAAATTATTGATTAGTTTATTACTTAAGTGTTGTTAAACGTATTCAATCATATTAGTGATACATAGTTTGGTTTTCAAATTTTGTTCCCAAATTTATTTTCCTTAGCATTTTGAAATATTGTTTGTGGAATTTTACGAGGCAGACCCTTTGTTTTTTGAGTGTTTTTTCTTCTCAGACCTGGCAGCCTCCTTGCTCTGCTCGACCTTACAGACTGAGGTTTTCTTTGTACCTGACCTCGCGTTGCTCGAGGTCATGACTGCATGGATTTTGCGATTGATGGCCTGAAAGTTCTTTTCTAAGCTAGAGCTCGTTGAGACTTGGCAGAGTTCACTACGTCCGCTCATCAGTGTCGGGGGTTGACCAACCCCATCGTACCATCTAGCTCAGTAGCTCTGTGGTACAGTGTTTAACAAGCGTTGATGGTCTCCAACGAGCAAATTGTTCTACATTTCATTCTCTGCCTCATGCACCGGCTTACAGTGCGCAGATATGGTGTTTGTTAGAATGTCTCAGTGAATTCAAAGCAGATTATATATGTTTTCATAGTTGTTTAATATTTAAAAGCAGTTGCCTAAGTTCCCTACCAAGCAATTATTTTGGTGTAAAAATTTTATATGAAATATTTTCATCATCTCGACTTATACTTTGCAAGTGTGATATAACCTTCTTTTTGCTTTTACTATGCAGTTTTCTCCAAAAGAAGCAAAAGAAAACGGAAAAAGAATTACCCGCTGCTCTGTTTTTCTTCAAGTGTAGTCTCGATCACGAGCTAAGGTATGACCTATTGTTTCTTTTCTTTTTTTTCTTTTTTTTAATTTCATCTGCATTAAAAATAAAGGATTCCTTTCTCGTATCTTGAATTTTATTTTTTGGATTCATATATATTCAGTAGATCGAAAAAGCAAACGAATTGGTAAGCTGAAGGTGCCATGGCGATGGATATACTCACTGCAATTATTCCTACAATAATTGACTACACAATTAGACCAGTTGCACGCCAAGTGGGTTACATTATTTTCTACAAAAGCAACCTTGAAGACCTAAGGAATAAATTGGAGAATTTTGATCCTGTCAAACAAAGGATAAAGCATGAAGTTGATGAAGTCGGAAGAAAAGTTAATCAAAAAGTGGAAGCTGATGTCCAGAAATGGCAGTCAGATGTGGAGAAGACCACTCGGGAGGCAGAAGCACTCTTGCATGATGAAGGCCGTGCAAAGACAAAGTGTCATTATATGTCCTAATCTGATATACTATCATCAGCGTAGCAGGAAGTCAACAAAACTGATGGAAAAGATTGAAGCACATGAAAATAAAAAAAAAAGTTTTCCAATGTTTCTTACAAAGTTCCTGTAGAAGACGTGTCTGCCCTAGCCTCGGACGAGTACATGGCCTTTCAATCAAGGATTTCAATGGTGAAGGATATCATTACGGAACTGAAAAAACCTGATACAGGATTGGGGTGTACGGATTAGGGGGCGTTGGGAAGACAACATTTGCCAAAGAGGTTTACAGAGAAGCTGTTAAAGAGAAGTTATTTGATGATGTGGTTATAATACTAAATGTCAAAGAAAAAATAGACAACGAAAAAATTCAAAAAGAAATTGCCAAAAAGTTAGGGATGGTCGTTGATGAATCTGAGGATGTGGGAACAAGGGCGAATCTCCTATGGGCCAGGATTAAAAAGGGGAAGATTCTTGTCATTTTAGACGATGTTTTGGAAAGAATTGACTTTGAGGCTGTGGGACTCGTCGGTGTGCCCAACTGTAAGATATTGTTGACTTCTAGAGAAAGAAAAGTTTTATTCTCTGATATGCATACGCAAAAAGAATTTCCACTTGGATTTTTAACAGAAAAAGAAAGTTGGAGTTTGTTTGAGAAGGTGGTAGGTAATGTCGTTAAAGACACTCGGATACTGAAAGAAGCAACCCAACTAGCAAAGAAATGTGGAGGTTTGCCGGTTTTGGTTGTTGCAGTTGCGAGTGCATTAAGGGATAGTACATTGGAGGAATGGAAATATGCGTTGAGAAATTTCAAAAGATTTGACAAGAAGGAAATGAATGAAAAAGCATTCTTGGCTCTAGAGTGGAGTTACAAACGATTGGAAGATCAAGAGCTTAAGCAATTGTTCTTGCTGTGCGGAATTCTTGCCGGACGTTTGAGTTGTATAATTTTTCTCAATGACTTGTTGGTTTATAGTGTGGGTTTGGGTTTGATGAAAAATGTTGATATAGTGGAAGATGCAAGGAATTCATTGCATGCACTGGCTGCAAAACTAAAAAATTCTTGCCTATTGCTGGACAGTTATAACGATGGGACTCTTAGAATGCATGAGCTTGTTCGAGATGCTGCTATCTGGATTGTATCTGATGATCAAAAGGCGTTTTTAAAAGTATATGGAGATGAGGTGAAAGAATGGCCCACTGAGGATTTATTTAAGAAGTACACCGTCATCTCCTTGAGGTACTGCAAAATCCCCAGATTTCCTGAAGTACCTTGGGAATGCCCAGAATTAAAATTGTTGATCTTGGAGAATGATAATATTGGCGACTCCCAGGAAATCCCAAGCAAATTTTTTGAAGGGATGAAAGAACTCAAGGTGTTGGATGTAACCAGATTCCGTATTCAGTCACTACCTCCATCTATTCAAATCCTAAAGCATCTCCATACATTGGGCTTATATAACTGCGACTTAGTAGATCTAACTCTTGTTGGACAGCTAACAAACTTGAAAATGCTTATCTTCCTAGAGTCCAAGATTAAAGAGTTGTCCAAAGAAATAGGGCAATTGACTCGTCTGCAATTATTGGATTTGACCGGTTGCTCTGAACTTGTTGTAATCTCACCTGGTGTTATATCAAGCTTGACAAGACTAGAAGATTTGAGGATGGGAATAAAAAGCTTCAAGCAATGGGAGGGTGAAGGTTTGGTCGATGGCAGAGGAAGTAATGCTAGAGTTTCAGAGCTGAAGCACTTATCTAATTTGTCCGCATTAGACATACATATTCCAGATGCTAACCTTCTTCCAACCAACTTGTTTTCCGATAAGTTAGAAAGATACACCATACTTATCGGTGATTGTTGGGAGTATCCTGACTTCGATGAAACCTGCTCTAACATGCTAAAACTCAAACTCACCAGGAGAAATCAATTCGACCGAGGTATAAAGTTGCTGGTAAAGAGATGCGAGCATTTGTACTTGGATGGGATGGAGAGTGTGAATATTATTTCCTATCTATTTGACAGTGGAGCTGTTGAACAACTGAAGAATCTCCATGTCCAAAACAACGACAAAGTTACATATGTCATTAACTCCATCAGTTGGAGTTATTCTCATAATGCCTTCCCCAAGCTGGAATCTCTCTCTCTTGAAAACCTTGTGAGGTTGGAAAGTGTATGTTATGGGCAACTCATAGGTGAGCCTTTCGAAAAGTTAAAATTTTTGACACTGCGGAATCTACCAAAGCTTCTTGGTTTCTATTCCAAAGGCAAGCAATCAGTGATTGATACAGAAGCCGACGTAATGGGTTTGGAGAATGAATTTGGTGCACTCCCGAAACTGTTTAGTAATGAGAAGGTACCATCTCTGTTATTCTTCTAACAAAATGGTTGCATGATTCTTTCTCACTATTGTTTTCTTCTTTGAATTTCGACCATATAGTTCCTCTTTTTTTTCAATAAAAAAAATATACATATGTTTTCCTAAGGCAACCATTAAATGGTATGCTAAGTTATCAAATGGCCTTAATTTATATTAATAATGAATGTACAAAAGGATTATCACATGGCTAATTTCGAAGTGGATTATTTTGTACTTGCTAGTATCTAATTTTGTTTTCCACCAATGATCATAAAAGTATTACTATGTTATTTTACACTAAGAGGAGAAGGAAGGGTTTGAACAGTACTATCCACCACTTGGCACCAGAGATCTTTCACAATAATGTGTTTTTGTCATCAATTTAATTAAAATAGTTTAAATTTGGAATTATATTGACATAAATTTTGGCCCTATATTTCTTTTTCAGATAGTTTTTTACACCAATTTGTTCTCTGCTAATTAATGAACGTAAAAAGACAGCAGCTGTCTAGTAGCCTAGTAGCTTACTGTTTTAATATATTTCCTTTACTTTATATCTAAATATTTGGAACATATATGGCTAACAACAATGTAAATTGTAGTTTCCTGAAATAGACATGATTATTGTTCTGCTATGCAGGTTTTGATGCCCAACTTAACAACCTTGAATGTGCATCAATGTGATAGTTTAAGATTTTTGTTTTAGAGTTCCATGGCTAAATGTCTCGGACAACTCAAAAATCTCAAGATATCCAATTGTCAAATCATGGAAGAGATAGTGAGAAATGAAGAGAATATAGATGACATGTTTGATAAGCTAAACCGTTTAGAGCTATATCTTCTTCCAAACCTTGCTAGATTCACCTCTGGAAGTTACATTAAATTTCTGTCCTTGGCGTATTTGGTTCTAGTCGGTTGTACTAAACTGGAGACATTCATCTTTGGTGCTAAGAGTGGAAATATTACAACCAACAAAGAAGAAAGAGATATTGAGCTCTTTGACGAAAAGGTGAATTATACCTTCACTTCTTTTCTTTATGCTTTTATTTCCAACTTATGCATGCGTCCCACTTTTGTGAAAAAAAGTTTGTTCACAAGTTCTAAAATGAATATGTGACAGGTAGGATTTCCTAGCTTGGATACGTTGTACATATGGGACTTACCTAAGTTGAAGACAATATTCCACAACCAACTTCATTCAGATTCTTTTGGCAGGCTCAGAATTATGGATGTTCGTAGATGCCACAGTGTAATTAATATCTTTGGGCCAAGTATCATGGGAAGATTGAATACGTTAGAGTCCTTAGAAATAGAGCAGTGCCAGTCACTACAAGTGGAATATGACACATCATCTACTACTCAGTTGAATGGTTTTGAGTGCCCAAATTTAAACTCAATTGAGATAGACTCATGTGATAGTTTGAAAAATGTCTTTCCCGCCTCAGTGGCCAAAGATCTTAAGCAGCTAAGCAAGTTGAAGGTTAAGAATTGTGGTTGAATGGAGGAAATTGTCACAAAGGTAAAAGGACCAGAAAGGACACATGAGTTCGGCTTCCCTAAAGTAGAAACTGTGATATTTGAAAATCTGCCCCAACTTCAGAGTTTCTATCCAGGGTTGCATGTTTCTAATTGGTCATTACTCAACGAATTAAATTTCGAAAAATGTGGTAGTGTGGAGATTTTTGCTTTCGAATTTTCAACATATCATGAAAAAATTGAGTTGGGTCACCCAACACCAACGAGACAACCTTTCTTTTTGATTGAGAAGGTAAGCATGCTGGTACACAATTTTTTTTATAATCGAAATTTTATGTGCTTTTGACGCACTAGTTTTTATTATTTTTGGTCGAAAATAAAATAGTTTAAACTTGGAATTAAATTTTCATAATTTTGGCCCTATGTTTCTTTTTTCAGATAATTTTCTACACCTCTGTTAATTAATGAACGTAAAAAGACAGCAGCTGTCTAGTAGCGTGGTAGCTTACAGTTTTAATGTATTACCTTTACTTCATATCTACATATTTGGCTAACGACAATGTAAATTGTAATTTACTGAAACAAACATGATTATTGTTCTGCTATGCAGGTTTTGATGCCCAACTTAACAACCTTGAATGTGCATCAATGTGATAGTTTAAGATTCTTGTTTTCGAGTTCCATGGCTAAATGTCTCGGACAACTCAAAACACTCAAGATATCCAATTGTCAAATCTTGGAAGAGATAGTGAGAAATGAGGAGAATATAGATGACATGTTTGATAAGCTAAACCGTTTAGAGCTACTACATCTTCCAAACCTCGCTAGATTCAGCTCTGGAAGTTACATTAAATTTCCGTCCTTGGCGTATTTGGTTCTAGACGGTTGTACTAAACTGGAGACATTCATCTTTGGTGCTAAGAGTGGAAATATTACAACCAACAAAGAAGAAAGAGATATTGATCTCTTTGACAAAAAGGTGAATTATACCTTCACTTCTTTTCTTTATCCCTTTATTTCCAACTTATGCATGCGTCCCACTCTTGTGAAAAAAAAGTTTGTTCACAAGTTCTAAATTGAATATGTGACAGGTAGGATTTCCTAGCTTGGAGATGTTATCCATATGGGGCTTACCTAAGTTGAAGACAATATTCCACAACCAACTTCATTCAGATTCTTTTGGCAGGCTCAGAATTATGGATGTTCGTAGATGCCACAGCGTAATTAATATCTTTGGGCCAATTATCATGGGAAGATTGAATGCTCTAGAGTCCTTAGAAATAGAGCAGTGTTAGTCACTACAAGTGGTATATGACACATCATCTACTACTCAATTGAATGGTTTTGAGTGCCCAAATCTAAACTCAGTTGAGATACACTGATGTGATAGTTTGAAAAATGTCTTTCCTGTCTCAGTGGCCAAAGATCTTAAGCAGCTAAGCAAGTTGAAGGTTAAGAATTGTGGTTTAATGGAGGAAATTGTCACCAAGGTAAAAGGACCAGAAAGGACACATGAGTTCGGCTTCCCTAAAGTAGAAACTGTGATATTTGAAAATCTGCCCCAACTTCGGTGTTTCTATCCAGGGCTGCATGTTTCTAATTGGCCATTACTCGACGAATTAAATTTCGAAAAATGTGGTAGTGTGGAGATTTTTGCTTCCGAATTTTCAACATATCACGAAAAAATTGAGTTGGGTCACCCAACACCAACGAGACAACCTTTCTTTTTGATTGAGAAGGTAAGCATGCTGGTACACATTTTTTTTTTATATATAATCGAAATTTTATGTGCTTTTGACGCACTAGTTTTTATTATTTTTTGGTCGAAAATAAAATAGTTTAAACTTGGAATTAAATTTACATAAGTTTCGGCCTATGTTTCTTTTTTCAGATAGTTTTCTACACCAATTTGTTCTCTGTTAATTAATGAACGTAAAAAGACAGCAGCTGTCTAGTAGCCTGGTAGCTTACTATTTTAATGTATTACCTTTACTTCATATCTACATATTTGGAACATATATGGCTAACGACAATGTAAATTGTAATTTCCTGAAACAAACATGATTATTGTTCTGCTATGCAGGTTTTGATGCCCAACTTGACAACCTTGAATGTGCATCAATGTGATAGTTTAAGATTCTTGTTTTCGAGTTCCATGGCTAAATGTCTTGGACAACTCAAAAATCTCAAGATATCCAATTGTCAAATCATGGAAGAGATAGTTAGAAATGAGGAGAATACAGATGACATGTTTGATAAGCTAAACCGTTTAGAGCTACAACATCTTCCAAACCTCGCTAGATTCAGCTCTGGAAGTTACATTAAATTGCCGTCTTTGACGTATTTGGATCTAGACGATTGTACTAAACTGGAGACATTCATCTTTGGTGCTAAGAGTGGAAATATTACAACCAACAAAGAAGAAAGAGATATTGAGCTCTTTGACGAAAAGGTGAATTATAGCTTCACTTCTTTTCTTTATGCTTTTATTTCCAACTTATGCATGCGTCCCACTTTTGTGAAAAAAAAGGTTGTTTACAAGTTCTAAAATGAATATGTGACAGGTAGGATTTCCTAGCTTGGAGACGTTGTACATATGGGACTTACCTAAGTTGAAGACAATATTCCACAACCAACTTCATTCAAATTCTTTTGGCAGGCTCATAATTATGGATGTTCGTAGATGCCACAGTGTAATTAATATCTTTGGGCCAAGTATCATGGGAAGATTGAATGCTCTAGAGTCCTTAGTAATAGAGCAGTGCCAATCACTACAAGTGGTATATGACACATCATCTACTACTCAGTTGAATGGTTTTGAGTGCCCAAATCTAAACTCGGTTGAGATAGACTCATGTGATAGTTTGAAAAATGTCTTTCCCGGCTCAGTGGCCAAAGATCTGAAGCAGCTAAGTGAGTTGAAGGTCAAGAATTGTGGTTTAATGGAGGAAATTGTTGTGAAGGAAAAAGGACCACAAACGACATACGAGGAGTTCGGGTTCCCTAAAGTAACATCTATGGAATTTGATAATCTGCCCCAACTTCGAAGTTTCTATCCAGGGCTAAATGTTTCTAATTGGCCATCACTCAACATATTAAAGTTCACAAAATGTGGTGGTGTGGAGATTTTTGCTTCTGAATTTTCAAAGTATCAAGACAAGTTTGAGTTGGGCCACCAAGACCAACGGAACAACCTTTCTTTTTAATTGAGAAGGTAACCATACTTGTACACAACTCTTTTGATATTCAAAATTTTATGTAATTTTTAGATACTAGTTAAACATACACCATCGAGTTAATACATTTATTATGTTTTTAATATTGAAGTTATTATGTGTTATCAAGTTTTTCAAAATATTTTAAAGCATGCTCTTATTGTTGATTATATTACAGGGTAAGTCATTCCTCAACTTAGAATATTTAATATTGGACAAGAACACGGAGATTTGGTATGAACCTTATGGTCCACTCCCAACAGTGTTGAGCAAACTAAAAGTGATCCAACACTAGTAAGACTACAAATAGCAGAGTTATTGGGGAAAGAGGAAGAAGAAGAATATGATGACGACGACGATGCATGATTAAGATGGCAATGATGATGAAACGGTAAGTTTCCATATATGCTAAATATCAAGTAAATATAAACTTTATAATCGTAATTTCTGTGACTACTTGTTAATGTTCACTTACCGACACAATTTGCAATAGTCCGTATATATATAGTGAGTACCATCAAATAAATAGTACTGGTTTCTAATTTCTCTTGTTACTTGCTCTGACTATTCTCTGTTCTCCCCTAAACAGTCTGCCCAGCCTTGCTTCCGTGGCCGACCTCATCATGTTTGATATAAGCCTGCAAGCTGCGGTCTCAATGGAAAAGCTATCCTAGAAACTTGTGTGATTTGTAATTGGGGCTTTGTTCACTACATTTTCGATTTTGGGTGTTTGGAAAATAATGCTTGTGTGATTTCTGTAAACATTTATGCATTTGAAGTGGTGCTTGTGTGTACGTCTACTGAAACTGCTTTGTACTAGAGTGTGCTTATTTGAGCTCTCTACTAAAATCAAATCGATCGAATCCGCATCTTCTAATTGGATTGTTAATTTTCTTGATGTGTGTATATTTTTCTTTTTCGTTTGGAAGGAAAGCTAGATTCAATTCATAAAATACAAGTTGAAATTGAATTGGTTTAAATGATTTTGGGACTCTTTATCTGTGAATTGGTTTTGGGATGAACCTCAACTTCCATAAGTTTCTTCAAACTATAATATTTCTTCCCATGTTGTTTTGCCTCTTTTCATTCTTGTATTTTGCTTCCTGTGATACATGAAAAATATCATTTTCCAATAGTCATTTTAGTAGCATCTCCAATAGATTCCCTAAATGAGCTCCTAATTATAATTTAGAGAGGATTTCTAATATATATACATACATACATACATATATATATATAGACACACAAACACTCATGTTTGAATTTTGTATGCCAATTTCTTGCATCCTCATATCAAAAATAAATAAATAAATACAGCACTCATGTTTCAACTTTGAAAGCCAATTTCTTGCATCGTCATATCAAATACTGGTCATCCATACCTTAAATCAATTCGTTAGATCGATCTCCATTACCTCCTAAAAAAATTCGAATAATAACCAAAAACAACTGCTGCAAATTCTCCTTGCCAAATCTCGACCATGGCCATCTTTTTGCAATGGAGGGAGGGAGTAATTTTGAGAGCTTGAAGAAAAAGATTGGTATGCAAGTTACCAAAGTGTGAAAGGAATGTAGTTCTCGAATAAAAAAAAGTGTGATAGGAATTTCGATGGAACTTAAGTAAATAAGTAAATAAACAAATACAATGTGAGAAAGGAATTTCACACGTGTAAAAAAAATTTGGCAAGTGACCTTATTACAGTGATGGACAGATATTGAATCCTTACATGATGACGTGGATTCAAATTTTGTTGGTGACTAATCTAACAAAATCTATCGTTTGACATTAAAAAAAAAAAAAGAATTGATGTTTGGAATATACATGTTAAACCTTATCATACCGATGGTGGTGGATTGAGAATTTTGTCTATGTGTGTTAACACATGATCCTTTCCTACCCCATTGAAATAATAAAGAACCTCGCCCATTAGCAGGGGAGGGGCCTTCCAAGAAGTCTGCAAGGGCCCAAAAGAGGTAATGGGGTAATGACAAATATCAGTACACAGATTAGAGGAACGCTCGCGATAGCAATCTTTCGATCCGTCACCCAATGAAGTAGAGGACCCAAGAAGAGGCCTATATATTATTTGTAGGCTAGTAATAACTGTTACGGGCCCCCATGCCCTCTCCATCGGATACTCTATAATCCATTACATATATAATAGCTTCTCAGTGGACGTAGCTTTTTTTTTTTGGATAAAGCACTTAATCTTCTAGTGTTAAATGTGCCATTTACAGCCACTCACGGTCACCATACTTGGCGCCAGAATCTCTTGTTAACCATACCAGTTTTTAGTGTTAACAATGTGGGGGGTGGGGGGCATGAAAAAATTGTACCTCTATATGATTACCCTTAGTGTGCAACTTGTTAATCAAGAAGACGTTGAAGATTTCACTCCTTCATCATCTCAAAGGCTTGTCAGATGAGGCAACCAGAATGAAGGGGAAGATACAAAGTCCCAATGTTGCTCAATTTGTTTCCTACGTTGAACAATTGGTTCAATATAGGGATGAGAACAAGGCAGAATATATAAGAAGAAAGTTGAGATTCGTTTTGAAGCAAATGGAACTAGAGGAGCGACAAAAGATTGAAGCTGAAACAATTGTTGGACATTTTTTTGTTTTTGGTAAACAATTTTTGGACATGTAGTAAAAGTTAAAACTGAGGTGCTAAATTTTAGTACTAGAGTTGGGAAAAACAACTGTTTAGGAGGCTAAATATTGCACTTAGTGTCACAAAATCTAGTTTAGCACCTCCATAGTCTATTGTGAGGTTTTCTTCCCGCAGAACATTCACCCTATTAATGTTATAATACAAGAAGGGTTGCTTTGTTGACACCGACAATTTGTTGACTACACCCCACTTAAATTTTTAATATTAATAGACTTTTTGTCCTAATGAAATGACTTTAGACCTTGAATTATTTTTAAATTAAGTTTTATTTTCTAAGCACACCACAGGTCCATTGTTTACACAGTTAAAAAAGAATCTGATATGTTGAAATAGTTGTGATCGAGCATGAAGAACTAGTATGTAGAACATTCATATACTTTGAAATTATTTTACTTTCTATTTTTTTCAAACTTTAGAATTATCCTCTCTTGCTCTTTAGTTCTCTGATTTTTTTTTAACGCCATTAGGAAACCTAATACCCAAAATTCACAAAAATCTAAAACCCATAATTTACAAAACCTAGATGTGCATATATAAGAGAATAAACAAGGGCCCTTCTAAAAGTATTATTGGGTCGAGTTCAGGTTTGTTCTCGAACCAGGGCCTTTCTAAAAGTACTATGGGCCGTCCAGCTACCATAAGCCGCCCAATCAGGTCAGCTGAGTCCTATTGTAAGGAGGATTGATTTGGATAAGGGCAAAGAAGTCGAGTCCCGATGCAACAAGAGGTTTCAGAGTTGAAGGCGTTGAGAACTTAGGAATGAATTTGATTTTTTTTAGAGCTTGGTTCAGAAACCTATTAAAACTAGGATTGGCCGAATCCTAACCATATTAGATTTGGGAGTTCTAATCCTAATATGTTTCTAGTTCGGCCATAGGAGTTCTCAATGCTATAAATAGAGGAAGGTGTGCATCATTCAAACCCCCTCCAATTCAACATACAAACTGCCCCGCGCAAACTCTCGCTTTACGCGAAACCTCTCAACAACCTTGAGATTTTTTTTTTCTTTTTCTCACCAACACATCTTCAGTTTAGATAAACAGCATTGTAAATGCAACCAGTGGTATCTTCAGTTTGGATAAACAACACTGTTTCCATATAATCAGCCGATTGCGGAGCACCTTCAGTTTGGATAAACAGCACTGTGTTGAGGCCGACTGTTTATCTAGCCAAGTCTTGGCCGAGAGGGATTTTTGAGTTCTTATTAGCAAAGGTCATCTCACTAGCCTTCTCGACGAAGTGAGGTGTTACAGATTACTTGGCTTGGCGCATTGAACACTGAGTTGTTTTATGATCGGATATTCACAAGTAAGTTTTAGAGTTCGGCATTCTGACCGCCGAACGACATTTACCATCAAGACATACATCTCTTTTAAGTACTTGTGTCCGTATAGTTCGGTGCCATACTCTTACGAATATAATCACTGTGACCGAACTCAGCGTCGACAATCCGTGAACTTCACAAGACTAGCAGCCTTGTCTTCAGGCTCTAGAACTCGAAGGCTGAGACATGTTCCTTACTCGGCCGCAATCGCGAGATCAAGAAGTCAGCAGCGCGTTTAATGCAACATCAACACATTTTACTCCCCGGCCGAGCTTGGCTGATGAGTTGGCACGCTTCACACACAACTGAAGGACGTAGTTAGTTTGTTAATTACTCAGCATGCGCGCCATGTAGGCTTAGTAGTTTTTAGGGTCAACAATGTCCTAACAAACCAAAAGGGAACACAACGTGCATATACAAAGCTGATGTGTTTGAATATAATCGATCCAGGTCGAGCACCGACAGATAAAAGTGATTATCCCTAAGATGGAAAACCAAATAAATGTAGAAGGTTTATGTGTTTGAATATCATTGATCCAACTATAACAAATGGAAGAAAATGATAGATGCATGGGTACCTCCAAAACATTTTGTCTGCCTCCCTCTCACATTCTAATTATATTCTTTAAATTTATTTTTATTTTTAATCATTGATTCTAAGGAAAACTAATGAAAATGACTTGAAAACTTTGAGTTTTAATGATAATGACAAAATAAAAGGTAAAGTGAATTGTACCATGATTGCCTTTTTAGTATAACAATGTGATTTTTCGTTAAAGTGAACAGTACCGTAAACTTTTTGTTAAAACTCCGTATCGATATTAGTTAAAGTAGGATTTAGAATATTTAAACTTTTCTTTAGATACGTTAAATGCGAGATATTTCAACAGGCATAAGTCCAAAACAATGTAGAAGCATTATATATATATATATATATATATATATATATATATATATATATGTAAAAAAGTAAATTCAATGAATAGATAGAGT